CTTCTTTCGCTTCTCTCCCACAAGCGAGATCTCATCTTTCTCGCTTGACGCAATTTGGGGCAAGGCTGGAACTCCCCCATTCCATCTAGCTAGTCGGTCTGACAGTCAATACAATGGACGAGGCCACCATCTCCCACGTCCTGTATCCTCGACAGGTTTGTCCACTCAGAAGCGCTGACCTTGACTCTTCTGACCTTCCGACACACACAGTCCCAGGGATCCAACCAAAACCAAGGCTCCAACTCGCTGTCGAGCATCCTCTCCACCCTCATCCCTACCTTGGTCATTGCGGCTGTCGCCTTTTGCGCCTTTCTCTTCGTGCGCACTCGCTATGGCCGGGTCTATCGACCCAGAACCGATGACAGACTGTTGGAGAAAGGATGGACTACTCCTCGATCCGACTCGGGCTTCTTCGGCCTCCTGCGCAATTACTCCTCCCTGCCCGATGCCTACGTCCTAGGTCACAATTCTCTTGATGGCTATCTCTGGCTGCGCATGCTCAAAGTCTTCATCTTCATGAGCGTGGTGGGCTGCTGCATCACTTGGCCCGTGCTGTTCCCTGTCAATGCTACTGGACATGGTGGCCAAGAGCAACTCGACATCCTGAGCATGAGCAATGTGACCAATCCCAACCGATACTACGCCCATGCTGGCGTCGCCTGGATATATCTGGGATTTGTCACTCTTCTGATTGCCCGCGAGAGGCTCAACTTTGTTGGTCTGCGCCGCGCCTACTTTCTCTCGGCAGCCCATGCTCAACGCCTCTCTTCAAGAACCATTTTGGTCATGGGGTTGCCTCACGATTACATGGACGACAAGGCCCTGCGACAAATGTTTGGCCCTAGCGTTCGCCGGATTTGGCTGCAGACCGACTGCAATAAGCTCGAGGACGACGTGAAAGAGCGGCAGAAGACAGCTTTGAAACTGGAGGGTGCCGAGATGAAGTTGATCAAACAGGCCAACGCCAGTCGCCTGAAGAGTGAAAAGAAGAACAAGGCCGCAGAATCTCCCGAGGCCACCGGGTTGGAACCCAAACGCTGGATCAACCAGAAGAAGCGTCCTACACACCGATTGAAGCCCCAGCTCTGGAAGAAGGTGGACACCATCAACTGGTCGCGCGGGAAACTCAAGGAACTCAATCGATATGTCCAAGAGCAGCAACATGAGCACCTCGATCTCAAGCACAACAAAGTTGCCGCTGCCTTTATCGAGTTTGCAAGTCAGACCGCGGCTCATAACGCCTACCAGTCGATCGCACGGGAATCCCGAACCAAATTCTCCCCACGATACATTGGCGTTCAACCCAACGAGGTTGTCTGGAAGAACTTGGGGGTCAGCTACACCTCGAGAAAGGCCAAAGTTATGATCGCAACCATAATCATCTGGGTCATGGTCATCTTCTGGGCGATCCCCGTGGCGTTCGTGGGCTCGCTGTCCAACATCAACTATCTCACAAACAAAGTACACTTCTTGAGTTTCATCAATGACATCCCCAAGGTCATCTTGGGCGTTGTCACAGGCTTGCTGCCTGTGGTGCTTTTGGCAGTCCTGATGGCACTTGTGCCCATATTCTGCGGACTGCTAGCGAAGTACGCCGGCGAGCCTACTCAGTCGGCCATCGAGCTCAAGGTCCAGTCCTGGTACTTTATCTTCCAGGTGGTCCAGGTATTCTTGATCACTACATTCACGTCCAGTAAATTGAATTCATCCAACCCCCCCCTGGCCGGGTCATGCTAACCAGGAAACTAGGTGCCACGGCGGTCACAACGCAAATTATCCAGGATCCGGGCTCCGCGCCGACCTTGCTCGCGACAAACTTGCCCAAGGCATCCAACTTTTACATCAGTTACTTCATTCTCATCGGCCTGTCGCAGGCAGCTCTCCAGCTGCTAAACATCGTGCCTTTACTGATGTACACCTTGGTAGGCAAGCTGTTGGACAAGACACCGCGAAAACGATACAGTCGGTTCATCAACGTTGCCGGAATGAGCTGGGGCGCAACGTATCCTAAGTTCACTCTTCTGGGCGTCATTGCCCTGTCATACGCGTGCATCGCGCCGCTAATCCTGGGTTTCGCCGCGATTGGATTCTGCCTCCTCTATCTGATGTTCAGATACAACTGGCTCTTTGTCCTGGGTAACAAGGTCGACATGAAGGGCGAAGCATACTCCCGAGGTTTGAAACAGCTCATGACCGGAGTGTACCTTGCGTCTTTCTGTCTCATTGGCCTTTTTGCGATTGGCTGCAGTGAGAGTGCCAGCAGCGCTGGCCCATTGGCCATCATGGTGGTGTTCTTGGTGGTAGTAGTCATCTTCCAGTTCTTGTTCGATCGGGCGATTGCACCGATGGAGCAACATATGCCGCTGGAGCTGTTGAACGGTAACAGGTTTAGCACGGTGATCATGGAACAGCTGATCGATGAACACCAACTCAAGCACGAGGATATGGAAGCGGGCTCGTCGAGTCGTGGGGATTCTGTTCCAAAAGAGTCAGGATTCGCCAAAGAGGAGAGTGTTGGCGATACCCCTGGGGCTCATGCCCAGTCAAAGTCCCCACCGTTCAACTTTCTGAGTCGTCGCATCGAACCGATGGCGCTCAAATTCTACGAATCAAACAAGAAGATCATTCCCGATTCGACCGACTCGGAAGCATGGATCCCAGGATACACCTCGGAGGAATACGAACAGGCCTACCTGAACCCTGCCATCACCGACCCAAATCCCGTCATTTGGCTGGCCAAGGACAAAGGCGGCGTGAGCGGACTGATGGTCGCCGAGAACTGGGAAGCGGGAATCCAGAGCACTGATGAACATGCCGAGTTTGATGAGAAGAACAAGCTCGTCTGGAGGGAAGATCAGGTCAAGGAGATGCCCTTGTGGCGGAGGTTGGTCAGGTATTAGGCTAAGGAAAAGGATGTTCGGCGGATGGTGTTGGGTTTCATGGACGATGGATATGGATGCCAGGGAAATGGAAAGGAAACAGGAAAAAGTAATATGTGCTTGTGATGAAATACCCCCCTGGCATGGAAGGAATAGGGCAGAATAGCTCTCATACGACTTGTCACAGTGGTTAATGGTAAAGGCTTGATCTGTGGAGACATGTTTCTTTCTGCCCGAAGGGCTTGTGTTGACCTGGCCACTTGCTATAATACCTCGCACCAAGTGGTGGTGCAGCTGTGTTTCCGCAGTCGACGTCATTTTCCATCACGAGATTTCGACGCGTCTCGACTCTCAACTGCTGCTTCACAGTTCACGTCGACCAGCTTGTTTCAATGTGACCACGCCTCAACGTGAGCTGTGCTTCGAATATGCCGTGTAATTGCCTCAAATGACACGGTGAAAATGACCACATGAAGCCAGATCCCTCTTCAGGGCAACCCATTCTAGGCATGCACTCAATATGGCAGAACCGCCCTACGACGACGACGACGACGAGCGCCGCGATCCACTCGTCCAACGAGCGCTGGTATGTCTTCCCTGCTACTGACGAGCTCTGCCTTCGTCTCACTGTACACAGTCGCTGGGCCTCACTCCCATACGAATCTTGACCTCTCGCGCTGCCATCAAGGCCTACCTCTCTACCATCCTCTTCCTGGGCACCTCCACGATCCTTCTCGCCCTGTCCTCCACCGCGTATGCATTCTTCTACTACAACTACATTCCGCAAATCAGCCTTGAAAGCGTCCTCTACTTGCAATATGGCACGGAGTTCCCTCCTTACGCGACGGTGGCGCTGGACACAAATGCGTTGGTTTCGCAGCAGGCCTACAATGTGGAGTTGATATTGGACATGCCTCGCACTCCCACCAATCTGCAGGCTGGCAATTTCATGCTGGATCTGTCCTTGTTGGGTTCCAAGAGTGTGCCTGACGCGGTGTCTTCATGGTTGGGCAATGTCACAGTGGAAAATGTCCTCTATCACTCCCGGCGACCGGCTATTTTGCCTTACGCGTCTCCCATACTGTCGCTCAGTCACACAATACTCCATTTACCCTGGCACCTGCTCAACTTACGCGACCTGGATCGGTCTCACTTGGTCGTCCCCATGTTTGAAATGCTGGTGTTCCCGCGGGGTGCGAGAACTGTGCCGACCCACGCAAGACTCGAGTTGCAATCCAGCAGTATTTTACAGGTGTATGATGTGAAATTGGCGTTCAGAGCAGAATTCCAGGGCTTGAGATACGTCATCTACAACTACCGAGTGATCAGTTTGGTGATTTTCACGACCCTGTTTTATGGCGTGAGTATCACGAGCATGGCGCTGGGGTGGGCTGTTATTTCGCATGTGCTCTCAGGTGACGCGCAACAGAAGAAGATCAAAATGGAAGCGCGAAATGGAATTGCGACCGACACGCCGATCAAGACCGAGCATGAGTCGTCCTCTGCCGGCGCCGCCAAAGTCAAGACGGAAGATGAGGCCGAATCGTCCGGTCCGCATGGCGGTGGCCTGGCGCTCTCGAACATTTCGGATATGCCTGCGCAGTTTCCTACTGAGAGAGGTCGGCCGCCATTGTCTTATCCTGGGCGTCCCATCTCCGCCGCAGAAGCAAGAGAAGATCTTGAAGCAGAGGAAGATCGTCTGAGAAGGCCCATGGGACCAGGCGAGGCTGCGGATGACGAAGATGAGGGAGACTTTGAGAAGGAATGGATCCGCGGGAGGCGGGTTGAAGGTGATTCCGGAATCGGAACCAGTATGGAGAGCGAGCATGCGGGACTGGGGGATGTTAGGAGAAGGAGCTCGAGAGGTCTGGGGAAGAGATGATGTTAAGGGAGCGGCACAGATTTCATGACCGGACTTTCTATATACCCCAATGGTTCACCGTCTTTCAACCACCTTGTGACGATCTTGGTTGGTCACCTCTATCTATATCTATTTGCTCCGACCAGAGCTAATATGCTCTACGAGCATCCCTCGCTCTAACTTCCAAGGACAATCCACGACACGACACACCAGAAAGCAATCTCGCAGAGCCAAGGAGCTGCTGGAAGAAGGACCATGGGTCACAACTTGGACGCCCTGGCGTTTCTACGCGGCGTGGTTTCCCTCTCAAAGTCCCTGAATCTCTCATACTCGGCCAGACAGGCGGGATTGCGCACGGTCGAACTGACCTTGACGTTCTGGCCCGAAATGACTCTCTTGACCGCGACCTCAACCTTCTTGCCGTTGACCGTGTAGGGGATCTCGCGGACTTGCTCGACGAACTTTGGCACGTGGCGCGGCGACAGGCCGTCACGGACGGCGCTCTTGAGTCTCTCGACCAGCGCCGGCGTGAAGTCGGACTCGTGCCCGGGCGCCATGATGACGAATAGGAAGACCGTCTCGTCCTTGTCGTGTGCCCTGCGGCGGCCGACGCACAGCGTGTCTGAGATCAGGTTGTTGAACAGCGGTCCCTCGACGATGTTGTATACCTCGCTGCTGCCGAACCGGATCCCACTCGGGTTCAGCACGCCGTCGCTGCGCCCGAGGATCTGCAGCCCCTTGGTGGCCGGGTTCATGACGATGAAGTCGTGCTGCGCCCAGACGTCCAGGTAGTCATCTTCTGCGCCGTTGGCATCGCCGTCCGTTGTTCGTACCTCTGTTCCGCCGGCGGCCTTCTTGACGATTGGGAATTTCTCAAAGTACGCCTCCCGGTACTTCTGGTGGTCCCTTGTGTCGCCCCAGAACTTGCACGGCATGCTCGGGAACGGCTTTCTGCACACCAATTCCCCGGGCCTGCCCTCGTGCGCGCACGACTGGCCCGTCTCGCTGTCGAGAATGTCGCAGTCGTGGCCCAGCGCCCACATCTGCATCTCGTTCGCATACACGGGACCGGCGGGGTTCGTGGCGATCCAAGAGGAGGCGATGTCGGTGCCGCCTGCGACGCTGGAGAGGTGGATGCGGCGCGGAAACGCGCGGTAGAACCAGTGGAACTGCTCGCCTGTCAGCGTGGCGCCGGTCGTGGTGACCAGCGCCAGTTCCGACAAATCGAATGAGTCCGGCCGGATGCCCGACTGCTCGAGCTCGAGCAGGTAGCGCGGCGAGGTGCCCCAGTAGGTGGCGCGATATTTGGCGCAAATCCTCAACATGGTCGACGGGTCCGGGTGTAGGGCGCCGCCGTCGTAGCAGATGACCTTGCTGCCCACGGAGAGGTGGCCGTTCATGACATTCCACAAGATCCAGCTCGTCGACGAGAACTGGAACACGGTCGACCACGGACCCAGCCCGTTGTGCAGCAATGAGATCTTCTTGTAGTTGAGCACCGACATGTGCGGCGACACGATGCACTTGGGCTCCCCCGTCGTGCCCGAACTGTACACTATCACCAACGGATGGTCCGTGGGCAGACGCACATACGCCATTTTGTCGCCCGCGCGGGATTTGCTGAGGAACTCGTGCAGCGAGATGGCGGCCCAACCGTCCAGCGGCGTGATGTAGTCCACGTTGCGCTGCCGGTGCGGCCGGTGGCAGGTCGGGACGAAGACGAGGCTCGGCTTGGCTTTTGTGGTTGGGAGCGCCTGGAGCACCTGCATGACCTTGCCCAGCATGGACGGCCGGGTGCCTCGCACGGCCAGGTCGACGTCGGCGAACAGCCACTTGGGCTCGACCTGGGCGAACCGACTCACGCAGCCGGCGACGCCCAGGTCGGGTGCGACGGAGGTGAAGATGGCGCCGATGGACGCGCTCGCGAGGAACAGGACGACGATCCAGACCGAGTTGGCCATCAGCCCGGCGATCACGTCCCCCTTTTTAATACCCCGACGCACCATGGCCGAGCGGGCACAGCGCACAAGCTCCGTCAGCTCGGCCCAGGTGACTTCCTCTGGATCATCCAGCCGGCCCTCGCGCAGCCCGACCAGCGCGACGTTGCTCGGGTTCGCCGCTGTGTTGGGCACCAGCACGTTCTCGGCGTAATTCAGCCGCAGGCCCGGGAAGAAGGTCGGGATGTCGCGCAGGCGCGCGGCCGGGTCGTACGCGATCTTTGTATGTTTGGGCAGTGCGGGGACGATCCCGCAGTACGAGTACAGATCGATCCAGAAGTCGTGCGGGTTTTGCACCGACCAGGCGTGCAGCTCGTGCGAGTCGCGCAGCCGCTGCGAGAACTTTGCGTTGACGTGCTGTCGATACCGGGACATCGGCGGCGCTTCTGGGTCTGGAGGCGTCCATAGCGGCGTTGGCGGAGAAGTGCTGCTGCTGGTGCTGGAGGTGGGACTTGAGTTTGGACTTGGACTGGAGCTTGAACTAGAGCTCAGGCTGGAAGTGCTGTTCAGGGATGCCGACGAAGACGAAGACGAAGACCGAGACGAGGGTGTTGAAGTGCGCGATGCTCGCTTGCTCTCCTCCCGATACTGCTTGGAGCAGTACTCGAGCGGAAGGCCAACTGCGTTGTAGTAAGCTGCTGGCGCTGTCGGTGGTGAAGACGACGACGACGACATGGTGGTTTCCAACAAAAAGCCTCTTCTTCTTGGTCCCTTTTAAACAATCTGCACAGTGGTCGAACTGATTAATCAATCTATGTTGTATTGCATAGTACGTCCTGTTGTATCCTGTGCTGTATTTGTATTGCGGTGCCGCAGTGTAGTGTTGTATCGGTGTAGTGTTGTGTCGTGTAGCACTCCGTAATGCGCAGTATCCTCTTTCTACTCCGTACCTTGGCCTCCGGTTTCTCCCTCTTTTTTCTCTCTGTATAACAAAAACAAAGCCCCCTAGGGGAAAAAAAGGGAAAGGATGCGATGGGGACACGGAAAAATGAAATCTAAAGAGAAAATTGGCTCAAGATTGTGGTTTGTAACCGGGTACTCGGGTGAGGGAGGGCGGATTGGATTGCGGATCGTAGCCCGGTCGCCGGATATTTGTCCCCCCCCTTGTGGTTGAACTTGTTGGAGACAGCCTCGGCAATGATGAACAATACAGAGTGTGTACGGGATATACCGAGTAGGCAAGGCTGAATGAGTCTGGAGTGAGGGGGAAAATGGGAAAGGACAAGGGCAAGGCTGGCAGATGGAGAGTACGAGGCTGAGGCAAGGCTGTGTGCGGGGGGATCCTGAAAACGCCGACACAAGACATTATGTACTTGTTACTGTGTACCCCGTCCTCCGGGTACACTGTTTGGTGCCGTGGGGAACAAGCCTGCAGTATCGGATGCCAGCGAGTGGCCCACCAGCCTCGCCTCATCTGGGGGATAACGGCACAAGAGGCCCGCTGTGAATCCGACATTTCCGCAATCGTCCACTGAGTTCGTCATGTTTTATATTCTATTAACCCGCCGACAGGGGCGCACATCCGATACTATCTACGAGACCACCACTGCAGGATATTCATCGTGAAACAACTGGCTGGAATCAGTTAGTTCAATCACTTCCGCCACCTCCATTTGATTTCCATCTCTGGCAATCTCAACGCCAGACTGCTCATCACAACACTGACGCTACTCGCCGCCATGGCTATACTCGCCCAAACCGGACTGAACCTCCACCCAGCATGATTGTCATTCGCTCCAATGGGAAAGAATACCCCCGCCGCTACCGGGATCAAGCACAGATTATACACTGCCGCCCAGGCAAAGTTCAACTTGACTCGTAAAAACACCCGTTTAGCGAGTTTCACGAGCGAGAGGATAGTATTGAGGTCGGAGTTGAGCAAGATGAAGGATGCGGTGGTCACTGCGACGTCAGAACCAGAAGAGAGCGCGATCGAGACGTCGGCGGCAGAGAGGGCGGGCGTGTCATTCGTGCCGTCGCCGACGAACCCAATGATCTTGCGTCGGCCCTTTTTGCTCGACAGATCGCTGGAGGATAAACCTTGCAGCTCGCGGATATAGCTGGCTTTATCTTGTGGGAGAACACCTGCACGGACATTGCTGGCCGGGATCCCAAGCTGCGAAGCGATGGCCAAGGCCGTAGTTTGGTTATCACCCGTGCACATGTGAATGTCGAGTCCCGCATTCCGTATAGATTGGAGGACTTTGGGCGCTTCAGAGCGGATTGGATCTGCGATGGCAAAGATAGCCAAGGCCCGATACGATGATGGTGACTTGGCTTTCTCAGCGTTCTCTGGTATCTTCCGAACTGCGAAGATGGACGTTGAATGGCCGAGGGATTGGTGTTTCCGTAGAAGGGGATTGAGGTAGAAGTCTTCTCCTTTGATCGTCACCATCACGTCATCCCTCTTCCCTAGTATCCCCGACTCCGGATTTCCCAGTCGGTAAATAGTCTGTAAAAGTCTCTCGTTTCCAAGGGCAATTTCGTATCGCGATGTAGACGAGCTTCCTTTGACCAGAAATCTGCCCGTCATCCCCTGGCCAGGCACTTCCTTGATCTCCTCTTGCTCGATGGAAGTATTGGTCGAGTTCTCGGCACAGTAACTTGCAATGGCCTTCGCTATTGGGTGTGTACTTGATTCCTCCAGCATGCGAGAGGACGCTAGTATGATGTTTTCATCAAGTGTCGGGTCGCTGCCGTCACTGCTCTGGATTGGTTCGAAGTCAGTGACTCGCATTTGACCTTCGGTCAATGTACCGGTCTTGTCAAAAACAATGACGTCCAATTTCGATGCCTCCTGAAATGCCTCGCCACCTCCCTGGACAAGGACGCCATGTTTTGCTGCCAAGCCGCCCCCTACGAAGAGTGCGGTGGGTGCAGCAAGACCGATGCCACATGGGCAGGCGACAACAAAGACGGCGATCGCAAACTCAAGTGACCAGAAAGGCCATCCTCCTTGACTCACATCAAGCCATGCTTGAGGAAGTGCTCCGGACAAGCCCAAACCCATCCAGATTACCCAAGTCATGATGGCGATGAGAGTGATTACCGGGACGAAGTACCCTGTGAGAATGTCTGCAATGCGCTCAATGGGAGCTCTTTTCGCCTGGCCTTCACGAACAACGTTGACGATTCGGTCCAGCATGGATGTTCCGCCGACACTAGTAACTCTAATCCGGACAGGATCGGACACGTTCACAGATCCTGTATAGACTTCATCACCATAGGTCTTCGTGACTGGGTTGGATTCTCCGGTAAGAGAGCTCTCGTCGAACAGAAACGTGCCTGTGTTGTCAATGACTCCGTCAGTTGGCGGAGAGGTTCCGTGTGGGATCTGAACCAGATCGCCAGTCTCCAGTTGATCGACTGGAATGGTTTCGGTGCTACTGGACGCTTTGCCATTTACGCCATCCTTCACAAGGAGTGCAGTTGAAGGCCTTAGGTTGCTCAGCATCGCAACTGCGTCGCCGGTTTTAGTCTTGCTGTAGGCCTCCAAGAAGCGGCCAACGAGGATGAAGAACGTGAGGAATGTCACCGTGTCGAAATAGGTATCCGAAGAATGATGTTGTCTCATGGTGGTTGGGTCACTTGTGGCATCCATGATCAGGACAGCCAACGATGAGAAATATGCGACTGCAGCACCGGCACTGATCAGTAGATTCATGCTGCCAAAGCGATAAAACCGCCGCAGGATGGGAATTTTGCTGTTCGGCCTCCACATGGCCTTGATCTCCTTGTATGCGCGGACATGGAAAAGATCTGTACCGAAAAACATGACTGGCGTGGTCATGAAGAAGAGTGCCCACTCTATCCGCATAGCCTGACCCGCTAGGATGGGCTCTTCCCACCATTGCCTCGTTGGGTCGGATTCAGGAACCAAGCTCATGTACACAACCCCAATGATGAGAGTGGGAATAGCGACTATGCCAGTAAACAGCAGCCGCCAAAGAATATGTTTCATCTCTTTTCGCTGTAATCGACGTGATCGCTCTTCAAGCGTTGGCGGGTGATACACACTTGCCTTCAACGCTTCGTGTGAAGCATCGATGGCAGCAATGAAGCTGCGTATATTGAGATGAGGCGAAGGACGGTAGGTGATGGTAATGACCGGGTCTTTCAGTGTGGGGAGTTGAGTTACGGTATACGCCGAACCGCTGACAGTTGATAATGCAGATTCGATAGCGGTCCTGACATTCTCGGGACAATGTTCACAATACATGCCGTCGACCTTGAGTTGCACTGTCCTCTCTTCTTCTGGAGCCTGGGCTATTTTGGAAGTGTCCTCGAGTTTGACGACAGTCGCACCATAACCCAGGTCGTCAATCTTCTCCAATATTTTGTCGAGATGCTGCTTTCCGGGGAATACGACAACGCCGCGACTTCCGACGAGGTCGATATTGACATCTTTGACGAATTGGAGCTCCTGGAGACCCCGGGTAATCGTGCCAACACAGCTTCCACAGGTCATCCCCTCAATACTCAGCGTGACCTTGAAATCCTCGCTAACAGCATCTGACGGAGACTTCTCTTGCACTAATGGACGTGTATCATCAATTACGGCTTCGTAGCCTAGATCTTCAATTGTTTCAATGAGTTTGTCCGAGTTGCTTTTGGGCCCGTGATAGACCACTCTTGCATTGTTCATCATTAGATTGACACTTGCCGAATCCACGTAATCCAAATTCTCAAGCCCCTTTGTGATCGTGCTTGTGCAAGATGCGCAGGTCATCCCGCCAATTGATATGGTCGCAACATAGTGTGAGGATGTACTCTCTTCCCCTGCGCCGTCAACGGCTTTGTTTGAGGGCTTGTCTCCAGTCAGTGTGTCGTCCGAGACCGCGGCTTCCTCATCGGCAGGAGTCTTTTTCGTAGGGGCTTGTCGGCGTGATCGCATAAGATAAGACCACGATAACTTTGGCCTCGATGTCTGGCCCTTTTCTCGCTGACATGCCTTGCAATTTTCAATGTGCTTGCGTTGAGCACGAGACATTAACCAGTGGGGTCGTGAGAGTCGGGCGTTCGTGAGGGTCGGTGACACATCGTAGTCGTGAGACTGGACACCGTCGGGGCGGATGGTTGTGACATGCTGGACTTCGAAGGCTGCTTTGATCAGTTCACTAACAATGACTTCTCGGGTCGAGTCCTGAGCGTGTTTGACACGAATAACTTGGTCTATTAGTGAGACAAGGATGGACTGGACGCCGGGAACTCCATGGAGTGTATCTTGAACATAGGACACGCAGGAAGGGCAGTGGATGTTTGACACCAAGAAGGTCGTTGTGTAGGCCATAGCGAAGTGCAAGGGGAAAGAGGTGGGCAACACTGAAATCGATGATATAGATCATAGGAAAGTGGCACAGAAGTGAACATGTTCAACTGTTTAGTTTTTATTCCTCCACGGGGCATTGAGAGGTTTGTGCGTAGGAGCAATTCCGCGGATTTCACTCGAAGATTGAGTGCTGCATTGAATTAATGATAGGTCGAGAAGTGATGGATCATTACACGAGGATGCGCGACTTGTGCGTAGAATGACGACGGAGAGGAAATTGGCCGTGAACCAACTGCCAAGCCATGGCAAAGTCGTAGCCTGCGAAATACCCAGTACAAGGCACGCGAGGCTGGATGACATAATCAGTGTCATATGTGCATCGAAGCTTTCAATCACGTGCTACCGCCCCCTGCGACTTCGAGTCGTCGCTTTCTCCTCGACCTCGAGCCTCCCTCCATCGACGACGAGAAGCTGATACCAAGACATTTTACCTCTGTATCGGCACTGGCCTGTTTGCTCTTCATTGAGCCCATGCAGTTTTGATGCAAGACGAGGCTGCTGTAATTCCCACCTTTCTTCCAATCAAAGCCTGGAATCACACGTTCAACTGCTCCCCCAGCGGTCTCAGCTGGCATGGCCTCCCCACCGACAAGTTCCTCTGTTCCTTCCGATAACTTGAACGACCCCAAGAATCATGTCATCCACGATGCCAACGACGACAACAACATCAATAAGTCGACTACGCAATCCAGTCACGTCTTCAATATACATGCTGTTCCTGCCCTCAGTTTTAGTGTCACACACGACGACGTGAATAATCACCCCGACTTGCTGGATCACCACCATACCGCCAATCAGTATCCGCCACAATTGAGCTTCAGCCCAACATCTCATCCAGACTCGGGACCTCACCGAGGATCATTCTCGGATATTTTACCCCACGGTCATGTTCCCCCTCCGCCCATCAATGAAAGCATGCCCAAATTGAGCGATGACATGTCCAATCCTTCCACAGGTGCAAACACCAGTCTCGACGATATGCAAAACGATAGCGATCCTGATATTCGGGATTCGACGACATCTTTGGGAATAAATCAAATTTCCGCTTCTGTTGCCAACACCGACCACACGTATAATCATCCGGTCGCCGTTATGGGCCCGGGTGCGACACCTGGTCCTGTTGGAGATGGAAGTGACCCTACAGCGGCAGTTAACAAAAGCGCTGTATTTCGAAACAAGCAATATCTTCTATCAGACGGGTCAGTGGTCTCTGGTAAGGGGCTGGGTCGAGGCAGACCAGGTATCAAACGAGGGCCGCGCAGTCTCAGGCCGGCAAGCGGTGACCAAACTTCATCCCAAAAGATACCTGTGAACGCTATTGGCCCCCCTTCTTACCACTTTGTAGCTCCTAGCAAAAAGAGAAAGAGTGCTGCTTCCGATACCTCGGAGTCTAATCTACGAGCTTCAATTTCGGAACCTACAACCACGCCATCCCGCGAGAGTTCAGAGGAATACAACCCTTCTGCACACACTCGATCCGGGAGGCAAGTACAGAAGCGCGTCTCGCTTAGCAACGATACTGCTGTGAGGGCGAGCCCTTCAGGGAAACTATCTCGCACCAACTCTACCGCTAATGCCATGTCCAATTCCCCGGCGTCCATAAAAACTCACCCGAAGATTAAACGCAGGGTCTATCGCGGCCGTGAGCAGTTTGCACTTTGTGAACATTGTTTACGCGGACATGGCCCTCCGGGAAATGTGATTGTCTTCTGCGATGCCTGCAATAAGTGCTGGCATCAACGCTGTCATGAACCCCAGATCTCTACGCATACCGTTGCCGACTCGAAAGCTGAATGGTTCTGCTCTGAATGTGACCGAATTTTGCACGGTAAAAAGAAGGACAAGAAGACACACGGCAAAACGGGCTCTCAACCTGCAGTCGTGGCTCCCCCTATCGTTGAACAGACACCCACATTTACAGGGCCGCGGGTGGGAGGTCGTTTCCTCCGACTGGAGCAAAAAGAGGCATACCTCAAAACTCTTTCCAGGGATGACCTCCTGTCTCTAGTTCTGCAGGCGTCAGACCTGGCACCGGACTTACCTCTGTTTCAAGCACTTGCACCACCACCTCCTCCACCTTCACCTCCACAATTGGCGATGCCACAAGCGCAGTTCACTTCTACGTACGTCACACCGGTATCGAAGGTGCCTCGTTTCGGGGACAATGATACTGGTGATGACAACGAGATAGATGAAGGCTACGATGGATACTTTGATGAACATGCCGCATTGTACCCCAAGCCTGGGAATGGGGTGCAATTACCGCCAGAGAGCGACGATTTGCATATATTGCTGGAGGGCAAAGATAGCACGACTTTTAGTCATTGGGTACGAGGAATGCCTGGGAATCTGTTTAGCGGGACGGGAAACGTCTCTTCGACCATTTCCTGATGGCTAGACAGAAGGGTGTTGTTCTTTTGGTCTGCTCATTTACTTGTGTACCAAGTAGATTCGAGCAGTCAATCCCATGTCTATGGTGGTCCGAGTCCACTGCTTCCATGACTACAGATTGTGACTTCGGATGTTATCTCCCCCGTCGCTCGCTATAGTCGCCTTCTTATCCAAGTTATGTTTTTCTGATGTCAATTCTGCTTGACCTCTTTGAGTTGATCCAATCTGAGTGTTAGGGAGGTTGATTAATTGATCGAAAAGAGAAGATGTATCCAGAGTGACACAAGACGCCCAGAGACGCTTTACATCCGGAGGAGATGGGGACAGGATGCCACAGTGCCAAGACTTCACGCTTGTCTTGGTCTACCACTTTCACTTTCATTTCAGACTTTTTGGACATTCCTCCCGTCTTCGAAACACACAAGTGGATGTCCTTGTATCCTTCAATGTGATTATCGTGTCTTGTGCGCGTTCTTGTATTAATGGTCGCCCTTTATGGATTCTGGTTCCAGTTTGTTGCGTGTCCTTTCCCGTTGGCAGCTGGCTAACAATGAGGTCCAAATCCACCATGACAGAAGCCTACGTGGGCATAAAGTCTGTACGGAGTGTGAGGACTTGTCTTGAAGGATGAAGAAATTACTGGGTATCATGTACTGGCAAGGTTATGGTTGATGGTTCGTGTGTTTGCTTGTTGATTACCTAGCGATGACGACCCATGGCGCTTTATGTGAGATGTTCAAGGACCTCCCTAATTATGTACGTGTTAAAAGGGAAGATTCAGAATTATGAAATTTCGCAGGACGTCCACCGCGTCCAGCAAACAAAAAGCCTGTGCATAAGAAGGCACTTTAGCGAAGGACTCAGTATCGGAAGCCGAAAATTGAATGAGGTGAGCAAAACAAACTGCCCTGCCTTGGAAAAATATGAGAGCCACCTGCCTCACTGCCTCACCTTCCATTCAGTGACAATGACAACGACTTCGAGTTCCGCTCCCAGTCACCATCATTGATTCCAAGTCACTCCTCAGTGATTCGTCTGGAGTGACAGTGAGGGACAGTCTCAAGGCAGCGAACAGTTTCGCTATGCCAAGACATCGTCTTGTTGAACAACACACATGATCTTTCCCTCACCCTGTGAATGAGAGATACTGCGTCTTCCTGTCCTTGCTGCTTCGTTCCGCGGCATTGAGCTCATCTACGACCCATCATCCACGTCATGGCGACGATGAGGCTTTGCATTTCCGCCTCTACCGCCGGACAAGACCTCAACTACGAGTCCATCAACTTCCTTTCTCCAGATCCGCGCCCTTTCCTATCCTTCACTGACGACGGGCCCGGGGTGCTCTCTGCTTTCGGCCCTCGCCATGATAATGACCATGAGAACTACAGAAAGATCAAGATCCTTCCAACTCCTGATGAAATCCTTGCCGTCCATCGACGAACCTACATGCCGAAAAAAGATCTCTACGAAAAGCACTTCCTGGACAATGGGCCGCGTAGGCTGTTGGATACACTTTTCAGACACCTACGATGCGACAGCATTGAGAGCATCCGGGACATCTGCTATTCAGCCTCACAAATCGCCTTCCTCGGCAGCGGCACAAATCCTGAAGGCCATGTTCGCCACGAGACCATAGCTGGCAATCGATACTTCCTGTACAACAACATCAAGATTGAAGAGTTGCTTTCACATGAGCAAAAGGCAATGGTTGTCCGTGTCAGTTACGACTGCCCAGCGTTCATGAGGGGTCAGAAGCTGTATGACTCTGACAGGTTTCAAAAAGGCATGCTTGTGGCGTTGCTCCAATTGAATCTCGCTACCATGAAGTTGTCAGTCTCCTTCTTGGAGGTCCATCTGGTTCAAAGTACCTTCTCGATGGACTGCTTCGACGGACGCGGCACTCGAGCTGCAGTCCAACTTTCTTTTCTGCCCACCACCACTCACGATGAAGTTCTTCAATTTTGCCGCAATGCACTCGGCCTTTGCAGTGGAAGTGAAATGTACCTCGTAGAATTTCCGAAGGTTCTCTTCGCCGGGTTTTACAATTGCCTCAAACGGTTGCAAGAGATGGGAGAAACAGACTTCGCGTTCCCGGATTATGTTGCCCCTGACAAGACTGTCGATGAGGCTTTATTCACCAGAGAGCTGAACTACGTCGCCCGGTCACGGCCGCAATTTCCATGTCCGCCGCCTTCTTACGCCCTCTCGCCGGATTTTGCCTATAATCTCAGCAAGCTTGTCCGGTCTGCATGTCCGATTGCCTCCGCGTCTGTGAGAGACTTGTCGCGTCCTTCTACTCTGGAACTCCTCAAACGCGAAACAACCTTGGACGAAGGTCAAGCGGCGGCTTTCAGAGACAGCCTCCTGCGTGAGTATGCCTGCACGCAGGGCCCACCTGGATGCGGAAAAACCTTTTTAGGTGTCCAACTAGCAAAAACACTTCTCGATTCCCGACCGTCACAGAAGCCTATACTGCTAGTGTGTCTGACAAATCACGCTCTGGACAGTTTCCTGGCTGATCTTCGAGATGCTGGTGTCTCCAATCTTCTTCGAGTCGGTTCTGGTAGCAAGGAAGATTGGACAGATACCATCAATCTCCGCAGCCTGCGACGAAAGACTCGATTGAAGAAGGAGGATTCCCAAGCGCTGCATGCCCATGGCCACCAAAGGAAGCTGCGGTTCGCAGAACTAGATTCGTTGTGCAAAGGTATGTTCACCTTTCTAGCGTTATCCCTGATTGGAACTAAGTGATAGTAGCGCTTTCTTGCCAGTCGCACACTGGAAGCCCTCCATGGCACTATGTCGAGGACCTTCTGTATAATGAATACCGCGATATCCATTCTCAGTTTATAACAAATTCTCGAGTCCCGCTTGCCCAATCTTTCACTTTTGAATACTGGTCAGGAGGCGGAGACTTGAAGACCATTCGGGAATTACACCTTGAGCTGGCTTCTAGACTTGAGCAAATCTCAAACATTCATTACAAGCCGCAAGAAACCGTCGATCAGATGCTCCTTGACATCTCCTACCACGTCGAACTCCAAAGTGTAAACGCTGGCCGGTCCAGCATTTGGAACCTGTCTCTAAACGAGCGTCAACTTATGCTTCGGCGTTGGGAGGCAGAAGTGGACGAAGAAAAGTTTGCTCAGAAGATCACCTCGCTTTACTTTGAGTCGCGGGCGTGCACAGAGGAGATCAGTACAATCAACGATAGACGCGATGTCCAGATTATGTCGTCTCACGATATCATCGCCATGACGACCACTGCATGCGCTGCTCGTTGGGAGCTTCTACGATCACTAGACCCTGAAATTCTCATTTGTGAAGAAGCCGCGGAGGTTATGGAAGCCCATGCATTGTGCGCTTTGCTCCCTTCAGTCCAACATGCAATCTTCATTGGCGATCCTCAACAGCTGCGACCCGAGATAAACGAACAGTCGCTGAGTCTAGAAACTTCCGTCGGACGTCAATATCGATTGGATGAGTCCCTGCTAGAGAAGTTGATGTTTCCTCATGACGTGTCGGCATCGGTAATGCCAGGGTGCCACTTGAGCGTCCAACGCCGCATGCATCCTGACATCGCAAATGTCACTCGTCTGACTTATCCTTATCTCACAGATCACAAGTGTACACTCCAGCGCTCGCCAACTCATGGCATTGCACACAGAATATTTTGGTGGGACCATCGAGTTCCTGAGCTTGGATCGGACGACCTCAAGTCGCATGCCAATCTTCATGAAGTCGAGATGGCTGCCTCCCTCGTTGAATATCTCCTTCGCGGTGGTGCTTACTCCCAAGGGGAAATTGCGGTCCTAACTCCATATGCAGGCCAGCTGTTGAAACTCTGGGGGCGGCTGGCCAATACGTGCGACATATGGCTTTCTGAAACGGACCGAGAAAAATTGCTTGGTGAAGAGGCTCTTGCTCTTGGTGATGAAGGCAGGACTACTAAGGATAAAGTTGCGATCTCCGACATGCTCCGAATTGCAACTGTGGACAACTTCCAGGGTGAAGAGGCAAAGGTCATCATACTCAGCACGGTTCGAAGTGGTGGTAGTCCTGGCTTCTTGAAGACATTGAATCGCATCAATGTCGCCTGCAGCAGGGCGCGTAACGGCTTCTACATTGTTGGCAATTCTCAGACCCTATCTCAAGTCCCTAGGTGGAGAGAAGTCATCAATGCTTTCAATGGGAAGATCGGAGGGTCAATTATGGCTCAATGTCATGTCCATCCTGACCACCGCCATCTTATCGAGCAGCCAAAAGACTTTAAAGATGTCCCAGAATGTTCAGCGGCCTGCGGCACGGCTTTGCCCTGTGGCCACATCTGCCAGGAAAAATGTCACCCACCTCGGCTCCATTCTCGCCTGGTTTGCCAGGAGGGATGTAAGAAGGTCTTCCAACAATGTGGACACAAATGTGAGAAGCCGTGCTATCAGACATGCGGAGAATGTCAGATTGCCACTAATGACGTTACTCTTGAGTGCGGACATCATGGAAAGATGCTCTGCTCTGGAGAAACTTCCGAGTGCGAAGCTGTCATAGCTAGCAGGGTCCTCAGCTGTGGCCATACTGTGAACACCTTGTGTGGCGAAAACCCCGACACAGAGACTGTCTGTCAACAAGAATGTGGCGCGACGCTCCCTTGTGGCCATCTTTGCAGTGGAAAATGCGGCGTCTGCAATAACACAGAAAAGGGAAAGCATTACTCCTGCGCTGAAATATGCAATCGCTTGAAAGTATGTGGCCATTATTGCAAGGAGAGTTGTCATTTTGGAAGATCATGCCCAAGGTCGTGTCTCGAATCCTGCTTGAAGCGGTGTGAGCATGGACCTTGTAAGAGTCGATGTCAAGACATCTGTGACCCTTGCGTCAAGCCGGCCATCGCTGGATGTGATCACGAAGAATCTTTAGATATGATATGCTGTCTGCCCAGCTTATCACTGCCCTGCTGCCGACCCTGCTCTCGGACTCTGAAATGCGGTCACAACTGCCCATCGCTTGATGGTGAGACTTGTTCGCCCCCGGAAGTCTGCCCGGAATGCGTCTCCGGGGAGAGATGCCCTGCGGTGCTGTACTCGCCAGAATGTGGACATATGGTAGAGATCTCCCAGCTGGATGCTCTCAATCTCCATGGCATCTATGATGTTGATGGAAACGGGGTTATTTTATCAATCAACTCGAGCGTGAGATCGCAAGATGTCAAACCGCCAAAATGCCCGTGTGGAGCGTCCTTGCAAAGTACTCGCCGTTACCGACTCCACTCGAAATTGGTCGATTTCAAGCACACTTTTGACCTTCTTCTATCGAAAATGGGTCACAAATTAGCTGCATTTGCGACCGCGATCGAGGTTCAGGGGAAAAAATTGGACCAGACGTTCGAGGCTTGTATTGGGGAGATCCGACCGAATCCCTTGGCAGCAAAGGCCAATGCTACTCTCCTTCTTCGTCGAAATCAAGAGATACTCAACCTGCAGAAGCACATTATTAGCTTCAGGACCGAGGTGGTGGATCGGTTCGAAGGCAGCATTGCGGTATTGCATCAAGCGCTTCCGAACGTTATCCCCTCGTACAACCTGAGTTTCCATCTTCATCTTGATGTCTTAGAGTATCGCGTGGTCCTTGCACGTCTCTCTGACGCCCTGAGGCTTTCAAATCAGCTTCTTTCTCTGAAAGATACCTCATTTGGGGTGCAACGTCTGGGCCTCAAGATGATCCAATTCGTCTACAAGGAATCAGTTTCGTGCACAAAATATTGTCAAAGTGCACTGGACACTGCCTTGATAGGTCTCAACCTGTCCATTGAAGCTGAGATCAGGTTGCAACAGCTCCAATTCATGCTCTTCGCAAAGTCGACTAGAGCTCGGCTCTCCGAACTTGGACATCCTGTCGAAGATGTTATTGTGATTGTCAGTGAGGAAACAGTTAAGACTAGCTTGGACGCAGTAAGCAAAATTGGCCGCAGATCACCTGGGGCATGCGGCTCCTTGATGGAAACTGCGCGGGAAATTGCGGTAGCCTTCGAACTTCATGATGATTCGAAGACATCGCCGATCCTGAGGATCAAGAATGATTATGCAAGGCAGATTGAAAACTTGTGGGGTCGTTACGAGCTTGGATTCCTGACCATCTGCACCCGACTCCATCCCTATTCGGCAAAGACTTTCTCTGACGGTTGCCCGAACTGTGAGAAGCAGGCTCAATTATCAGTTGATCAGATCTTTCGCGAATCGGGGAAGCACTTGTTTGAGAAGAAGTTCTTGCAAATCATGCATGCAAGGTCCACTCAGCCTGCAAAGTCAGAATCCTCCGAACGGGAGAGCCCGAAATCAGTTGAATCGTCAACCAAGCAGCCCGTCTCGGATGACAAGGCCGTCAGTTCACCTGGCATGGAAATGACCCGGGAAGCAAGTCTGGCAGCGATGAGGAAAAGACTACCCAAAATACACGCTGGAGGGCCTTGCGACACTGTCAAAATTCAGAGTGAGCGAACTGTTGACGAAGAATTGGCTAGTGAGGTGGACGTCGAAGCAGCGAGGGAGATCAAGCAGGGGGTGAGGTTGGACAGACAATCAATTTTAGTTGAACCTGAAGAGGAGCTCACGATGGAAGAGAAGTTTCTTGTGGCAATGAGAAAGATTGGCAAACACTGAAGAGAAAATATGTCTGAGAGTCTAAGGAGGGCAAGGGGATAAAAACATGGGCGCCGTAGACATTCTACTGTAGAGAATGAAGAAACAGTGTGATAGAAAAAGAAAAATATCATCTCCATTGAGTAAAATTTTCTCTGCTTTTCCGAAGGTGTCAGTGTTGGGCAGCCTCCCGAAGTGAATGTCATGCATTTAGCCAGATTACCAAGATCGTGATGACGGGGAAGCTAGGGTGGAGGTAAGCTCTTGTTTATGCAGAATCCCTGCCGGGTCGGCATTGTCCCTTGGAACAGTGGGAATTGGGCACTCTAGGGCTGGTACATATGTATCTCGTAAATAAGCGACTAGTCCATGATGGGGAGTATTGTCGGACGCCGCGTATCGTCTATCTACTATGGAGAATGCGTCCAAGCTGTTAAACTACTCGGTCAATCGACTGATCGATCGTGGTTTGCTCAAAGTTTGGATCTGGGCGGCTGCATGCACCAGCGAAGGTCGAACTCGGGTCGAGGACCTGGAGAGCTTCCAGCTCCAAGATCATTGCAGATGTCAAAAATTTCAGCTTCTCCTCGGGCGGTTCAGACCCGCGATGGTAATGGGGTTCTGGGCTAGGAGCGGATTTAGGTGATTCGCACATGGCTCGCGGCTTGCGTCGAGTGTGTGTATTTCTGGTATAGAATCGTTGCACTGGATGTTGCCTGCAGCTCGTTGTAACAGGGAAATATAGTAGTCTCTGGTTGTAGAGAGCGGGTGTGGACGATAAGGATCGGCTTCTCTACCTTTGTAACTCATCGCTCGGCTATATAAGCGCAGATTCAGCTGACGGGGAGCGAGGTTGTAACGGTGTTAGTATTCCCTGACTTGTGCGAATGGCATAGATCGAATAGAATGCCTTCCGTTCTTGCTCCCCCTGGTGGAGTAATCGGGCACCTAGCCTGATAAACCAGGTATGTAATGGCAGGACCATATTTCTGGTCTGAGGGAGACGGTCAAGGCTCCAAAGTAAGGATGAAAATTTGTCAATGCTGTGCCCAGTTGCACTGAAGCAAACAAAATGATAGTGTGGAACTGTTGTACGAAGGTTGAGTTGTGGACCTGTTTGGTTGATTGTGTTCTGTCCCCCTAGCTATTCAGAGAGACTCTGCCTATTTATATATACATTGGCCTGTAACCATAAGAGCATTCCTGAAACCTCCTATTCCGTCGCCATCCTATCACAGGTCTGCAGGAACAACGAGGTGGAGGTAGTTTGCGCAGTTGGTGAAGCGCCTAGCGTCTCAGGTGGTTTGCCCCAGTGGTGCTCTCGCGACCCTGTCAACAGGAACATTTGATGAGTACGAGTTGACTCCCTGTTTTTATTTCTTGTCAGAAATTTCGTCTCTGCTCTGCTTTCTGCAGCTCTCGCAAGATAGTGCTGTGAAAGTACGAGTATGCTTGGATTATGAAACCTGCTGGGAGACGATGAGGACGATAATCCCCTCTCGCCCCTTTTTTGGAGAGTTGAATGCCAAGAACACTTGAGCATCGCCTCGAATTTTGATAGCCAGCCTTGCCAGCCTTGCGAGTTCTCCACGTCTCTAATAACCCGTGGCCGTTGATGAACTTGAACGCCACCACAAGTATCATATCTTCTAGCATCTATAATAGCTGCTTGTACATTCAACTCTACCCTGATCACGCTGCTCTGCTGTTGGTACGTCCTTCCAGCTAATTTTCCTTCTCTTATCTGACTCACGCACCCATCACTGAATGATATCATTAACCCTCCTTGATGAGGAAGAGACGGACTGAGCAATCCTCTCCCAAGATTTGACTGCCAAGGTCTAGGTGATCACGACACCGATTTGAGGTTGAAGTATCTTGACTTGCGCTGAGTGAGAAAAGAGAGATTCGCGATGAACCTGCAGGTTGAATACTAGCAGAGAGGTGGAATTGGTGTATCAGGCTGTGCAGTCCATCTCTCAACATTCTGCTCGTTGATTGATCTATCCCAAAATCTTCTTCACGCTCTCTCTGGCAAGCATACCGTCCAACCATTTTGAATATGCCGGGTACTTGGCCATGTCGATGGTCTTTTCGTCATCCAGCCACGGGACGTTCTTTGCCCACGGCACAAACGCCAGATCCGCGTACGTGAGCTTGTCGCCGACCAGAAACTTGTGCTTCTGCAACCAGCCGTCCAAGACGCCGGTGACGCGCTCAACCTCCCTCACGTACCTCTCGCGCGCGCTTGGCAACTTTTCTGGGTGGAACACCTTGAACCACGCAGCCTGGCCGAAGTACGGGCCCTGGCCCGACATCTGGAACATGAGCCACTGGTTCAGCTGGTACTTCTCGGGTACCGTGTCGTACGTGAGCACCCGGTCCTTGTCGTACGTCTCCACGAGGTACTGCACAATGGCGCCCGACTCCCAAAGCGTGATGCCCGTGTTCGGGTCCTCGATGGCGGGCACGCGCCCGTTCGGACAGATGTCGGTGTACGGTGGCTTCTTGATCTCGGAAAAGTCTACCTCTTTGATCGTGTATGGAATGGACAGCTCCTCAAGGATAATGGCGACTTTTCGGGGGCTGGAGCAGGAATGAAAGAGACCGCCATATCAGTCTATTATTCGCTCGCTGAGTGGCTTGTGAAGAGGGCATACATACTTGGGAGTTCCGCCGTGGCCGTAAAGTGTGATGGGTTTGAGTGACGACATCGCGAATCACGTATCTAAGGGGAGGAGAACACTTTGTCAGACGGTCTATGAGGACCAACTTGATCCCTGAGATGGGAAGTTTTATTTCTGGGTTTTGAACTCTCAGAGGCAGTCCGCGAGACTGCGAAGGCTGTCGGCCGAGAATAGCCGAAAACGTGATCGCGTGGTTACAAGACACAGACTAGGGTGGTGGGTCTCGTGGAACTAACCCAATGAGGAAGGGCCTCTACTCAATTCTTCTTTCTCCATTGACACAGCCAAGCCTGTTTTTCACGTGGGCCCTGAGCTCTATTAGTAATGCGATATACAGTGATGGCACCATCCTTTTGAGTTGGCAGTTCGTTTCTGAGTTGGCGGCGGTGCTATTCTCCACTTTAATGTGCTTGCCCTGCAGAGGTATTCGGTATTTGTAAGGCAGATCTTTCGCCATGCCAGCCGTGCGCCGCGGGTCCAATGCAACAGCTTCTACGTTACTTCGGGTGGATGGAAGCTGCTAGAAGCTTTGAAGATTTGACGGTGAACTTCAGGTGGAGCCTCGCCATCATTCGTATTTGATGCCGTGCATAAGAGTCCCAATCTTGCTAAAGTACACCTCAACCTTGTCTCCATCCTTCAAGAACTTTGGCGGTCTAGATGAGAATCCCACTCCGCCGGGCGTCCCTGTCAGGACGACTGTGCCCGCATGCAAGGTGTGCCCTTTACTTAGGAACTCGATAATTGCCGGAATGTTGAAATGGAGCTCAGAGGTATTGCTCTGTTGACGGACTTCGCCATTGACTTTTGTCAGGAGGGAGAGAGTGTGCGGATCTTTAATCACCTATCACAATAGTTTCAAATGAGACTGTAAATATGTCGCGGGGCATTGGTCATACATTTGTCGAGACGATTCCTGGTCCTAGAGGTACAAAGCCGTCGAAACTCTTTCCGTAGGTCATTTGAGGAGGAGGGAACGTTCCCACAAGATCAGGATCCATCTGCCACTTTCTGCATTGATCACGAGGATCAGCATCCGGCTTCTGCAATCATCTTTGGCCACGATACATACCTTGCGGATACGTCATTTGACGAGGTGTAGCCAAGGACATATCCCATCGCTTCTTCTTTCTTGACATTTTTGGCATCCTCTGCGATTATAAATGCCAGCTCACCTTCGTAATCAGTCTGTTCGTCTTGGATGAACTTGGGGATCTCGACCTCGTCCCCATAACCTGCTACAGCGCCCGACGTCTTGGAGAACATGGCAGGATAGCGTGGCGGTTCGATGTTAAGCTCTCGGACTGTTTTCACCCACATTAGCCTCCTGACATGTGAAAGAAAGTGTTGGGGGAAAATGAAGGATGCATACGGTGACTCAAGTAGTTCCCTCCAATACACTGAACAGAAGGAATCTGACGGTACGTCAAAGGTCCCAACAGCTTCTTGACTTTGACAATCTTGTCAGTGATCACACAATCGGCTGTCAGCGGATTGCCGTCGATGATTTTAGCGGTTAGAGACGAAAGATTCTCAGGCAGTCCGATGTCAAAATCTTCGCCAGGCACGATAGCATCGCCATAATAGATTACTTCATCTTCTGCGCTCACGAAGCGGATCAGGCGATCCCATGGGACGCTTCTCATAACTGTCATCTTGCGCTCTTTCTCTTCTGCCATTCCTCAACAACGCCTCAAGTACGAGGTGCTCTTATGAAAATGATCTGTTTGCAGAGATTGGGGCCAACGTTTTCGTATTTCAGAACCTACGAGTAGATGGAAGCCCTTGTTGATGATGTTCCGGTCATAATAGACGGATCGCCACCAACGAGGTTTAACAAGATGATCCATCCGCCAGATAAAGGGATCCCTTACATTCGGCAAAGGTTATGGTTTAACTTCGGCGCCGAAATTTCGACTTCGCTCTCGAGAAACTGCGGACCGGCTTTCCCTTTGCATCAGCCTTGGAGGGCATAACAAGAGACGTATCCAAAAGGCTGTTGCGTACTGAATGAACAATTGGTTTGGGGCCGTCGCTAACGCTAGAGATCGTGTCTTCAGGAGTAGACGAGGTGAGCAGATTCGTGCAAAAATAAAAATATGGAATAATGTATTAATGTGAAGCCGGGTGTTAATCCTGCCGGAACGTCCTGGCGGTTCTTGCTAAAATTGAAATTGGCCTTTCTCCTTGCTCACTTCTCGCAACTAAGCGGAAAATTAATGCCACTTATTGGAGAATCCGGTTGTTTTTAAGCTACAGTGCTTGAAGGTTTCACTCGTGTTCAGGGTTTCCTGCAGACAAACGTATTGTCGAAGCATGCCCTTATGATCTTTC